TTTATTTTTATGTAGTTTAATGCGTACCTCTTTTCCTTTATGATTTCTGGATTTTGTGTCCTGCTTAGAAACACTTTCCTCACCTCAGTGTTATAAAATATTCATCCCACAGGGTAGTAGTTTAATGATAAGTACAGAACAGTGGTTTGTTGTCTTGTCTGTTTAGCATATATAATGACCTCCTTTTTCATTTAGCCTGACACACTGGTTTTCAACCTTAGCTACAGGTGGAATCCCCCAGACTCCTAATCCTGTCTCCCTGGTGCTGTCAGAATACCTGGGGTGGGTCCCAGGCTGTGCATTTAAAAAATGTTTTTATGTATGGGTATGGTGTGTGTTAACTGTGGAGCTTTATTCTAGCCCTGGGATCTTCAGCTCCCTCAGACCCAACTTCACCCTTCCGTGACTAATTTTTGTTGTACTCTCTACTGTCTTGAAATGAAATTTTCGTAGATAATACAATCTACTACTTATGTATTTTCAGAATTAAGCATCAATATAATGCCATGACTGGAACATAAAGGAGAAGGGAAACTACAACCTGTAACTAAATAATATGTATTTTAGAAGGTGAGTGCTCAGGCACGACTAGCCTAGAAAACAGTTAAGAAGTCATGTCCATCCGTGAAGCGCAGATCAGAAAATGTGTTTTATTAGTAACACAGACACTGTAAATGGTGTTGCCTTTCATGATATATGTTTTTTTGAAATATTGGATAAAAACTTTAGCTAAAGTGCTTCAAACAGTCTTCCCTTGATTTACCTAGAAAATTCAGAGCTATTAAGAATATGTAAAAATAGAGCCCTGGCTGGCGTAGCTCAGTGGATTGAGCGCGGGCTGCGAACCAAAGTGTCGCAGGTTCGATTCCCACTCAGGGCACATGCCTGGGTTGCAGGCCATGACCCCAGCAACCGCACATTGATGTTTCTCTCCCTATCTCTATCTCCCTCCCTTCTCTCTCTAAAAATAAATAAATAAAATCTTAAAAAAATGATAAAAAAAAAAGAATATGTAAAAACAAGCTTTTCATTTATACACATGAAAGGAGGTTTAGAAGCTTGTCACCTTTATAGAATGTCTGAGTGGGCATTGAAAAGTCATGTTGGGCCCTGGCTGGTGTAGCTCAGTGGATTGAGCGTGGGCCAGTGAAGTAAATGGTTGCCAGTTGGATTCCCAGTCAAGGCACCCTGGGTTGCAGTCCAGGTCCCCAGTAGGGGGCGCATGAGAGGCAACCAGACATTGATGTTTCTTTCTCTCCTTTCCTTCCCCTCTCTCTAAAAATAAATAAATAAAATATTAGAAGAAAAAGGAAAGTCATGTTGGGTTTGGAACAATTGTCATTGTAGGGCATTGTCCTGCAGAGGATGTCTGGCATCTCTGCTTCCCAGGCACTGCTATCAAAGCACCCTGTACATTTTTCAGAGAGCCCTTGGGACAGTGCATGTTATCAGCCACTGGTTCTGAGTCAATGTAAGTGCTGTAACACATACGAAAATTCTGTATGTAGATTTTGATGTTGTTTTTGAGTTACACATGGAATTGAGTCAGAGATGTCTTTATTTCCTTTTTTTTAGCCAAAACTCTTGTATCCTATTGCCTTTGTTTCTTAGCACAATATTTCCATTTCCTTTGTCTCTCATGCTAATTTGTACTTATTGTACATGATTGTTAATTTTCATCTGTGAGAACAGTAAACATTACAATAGTATTGTGAACCAAATCTTAATTACTTCCTGGATTTGCAGTAAGGGAAGAAAAGAGGAAAATGTAAATCAGGAAGGTCGTTTGAGTTGCCGGGAGATTTCATGTTCTGGTATAGGGTCTGGGCCGAGGTTAAAGTTTGCAGAGTGAAGACAATGCCTCATGTTTTTGTGTGGTTGTGGGGTTTCGCTTCACAGTCAAATGCAGTAACTTAAAATACGTCATTGTACGCCTTTCTTGGTATGCTTCTATCAGTAGGCCTAATTAGAAGTGATGGCTGAAGCTGAACAGTAAGTCCTCACAATTAATGTTGTAAAGATGTGGATTTTAATATCGTAATGAGAAATGAAGTGGGCTGTAAAGCTGACACTGTAGTACGGACCAGTTTCCAGTGCTGTGATTTCTCGCAATATTTATATAGATCTGACTTGGCTTTCAGATGAAAAGAATGAATATCTTTCTTGCTGAAGCAAATGGGAAGATAAATATGTGGTCTGACGTTTTTATGCAGTGACCTAGGGATAGCCTTGAGAAACATATTGTCTAGTTTCCAATTACTGTTGAGAAATGAAAGCTCAATGTTAATTATGTTAAAGTCATAAATTGTTTATGATAAGAATTCTAACAATTTGGGTGTTTACATAATATTGTCCAGCAGATCAATTGGTTCATTGCCTCGGGGTTCATCAATTCGCTCTGGTAAACTGAGCTGCTCCAAACGGGAGTTTTAATGAAGGAGTCATGACCGATCTGCTGTCGTTGAGATAGGTATTGATTAAGACCTGCTTTATATCTCAGCCTTGTTTCACTAGGTGCGGCCCTTTTTCAGCGGGGAACGCAGGCCGGCTTTGAGCAGAGCCAGAGGGGCTCTCTGGGAGAGCCGTTGGCCCTGTGTGGTTCCTGCCTGCCCACCCAGCCAGTCCACTAGGGCACCTCTCGGGCTGTGAGAACTTTGCCCCTGAAGTTATGGTTCTCCCTTCAAAAAACAAATAAAAAAATATCAATACTCGGGTTTCCTCTCAGTGCGAATGACGGTGAATTTGTCTGCTTAACTTGCAGCCGTTCAAAGGCCAGACGAAGGAAGGAGAGTGTGTGGCTGTGCCTGGGTCGGAGCATGCCAGCCTCACTTCCCGAAGGACGGCCAGTACAGTTCTGGGGGTCTGTGTGTTCATTAACACACACGCATTTCTTTAATGCAGAGCTTTTTCAGCACTTCCAGGGAGCTTAAACATGCTATTCTGAATCGCTAAGCAGAGTCTTCACTGTGTTGTATTTTTCAAACTTACTTGACAAAGGAACCACATTTTTTTGGGAGCTTGCACATGTTGGTAATTGCTAATTGCTATTCCAAGACTAGTCCCCTGAACAATAGAAACATTTTTTTCCTACTGAGTTATATTTTAATGTTATGCCTTTTAGTGAATACTGACATTAGAAGGAGCTATATGAAAGGCCATTAGAGTTGTTGAAGACATTGTCCAGTATGTTGATTGCGTTCTCAGAATAAATTCCTCCTGTGATTTAATACTTGGTAAAGCTATGTGTTTTTCTTTTTCAGTCAGATGAGATTTATATAAGCCATTATGCCTTTTTTTTTTTTTTGCTTTGCCTCTAAGGCAACTCAAATAAATGTAGCACACAACACGGTAATTATTGCGCGCTCATGTTTAGCATACTAAGAACTGTTACTCTCCCCTTTTCTATTTACATAGCTTAGTGTGGTTAGATCCCAGCTGTTGAGCTTTGCTTCCTTCATCGTTACTATTGGGATCTACCGTTTGGATTATTGTGAAAATCAAATGAAATATTCTTTTTTAATTGCTTAGTCACGTGCCTGACACACTGTAGAACATTAAGTAAATGCTGTCCGGACTTTTCTCTTAATTTTCAGATTTTCTGTTTCTAATTTTACAACCATATTTTATACACATCTTTGCCAGCTCAGTTGTGTTTAGAAGTGAGAAGTATAAATACTAAAAAAGGAAAAAGCAAAGATTATAGGCATCACAGTAAGAACATTGCTGTGGTGGATGTGAGGGAATGAAGTGGGTAAACGAATAGAGTGGAGAAATGAGGTGACGTGTCCCTAGTAAACGGTGTCTCCGGGATTTGGGTAGTTAAGGAAGTAGCAGCAGACAACCACACCTCCACCCAACAACTCGATGTGGGTAGGCTTTCTGAGCAAAATGCTGGCTTGAACTTGAATCTGAGTCACAGTGTCAAAGTAGCTGCAGCTCTCTCAGCATTTTTGTTGTGCTGCACGTGTGTGCGTAAGTGGAAGAGAGAGTTCCTCCCGGGGGCGGGGGAGGGGCGTTTACAGGCCCAGAAGTTGGGAAGCAGCCTTACAATTTCTTAAATACGAAGTGTTGTGAGTACCGGGCCTTCCGGTGGTGGGCTAGAACAGACTGGGCATGTGGTCTCCCTGTCTCCCACTCACCAGGGACACACGTGAGATACTCTGGGTTTTATTTTCATAAGGGAGTGACCCGTGTGGGGGAAAAGCGTGGCATTTCTGATGCACGACTCAGAGTGTGCTCGTCCTTCCCTCCAGCCCCCTTACTGCTAGTGTCACAAGGCCGGTGAGCTGGCTCGCTGGTCCCTCAGCCACAGCAGCACATGGCTGGGATCCTGGGCTCAGTGACATATAATTTATCATCCAAGCTACCCTTTTCTGGGGACACTGTTAGTAATTAGGCCAGGACAACATAAATAAGACAGTCCTGGGCAAACTGGACATTTGGGCACTTGAGCTAATAACCCCTTTTCTGCATGCTCTTCAAAAACGGAAAGGTTTTGTATTTTGAGTTACAGTAACCCTCCTGATGGGCCTCTGCCCGCTGCGGCAGCAGAGACATTCAGAAGGCGCTCCGCCCTGCCTTCATTTTTTGAACGATGTGTTTTATTTTCTAATTTGGAGTGCGTTCTCTTTTTGTATTCAAAATCACTGTCTATTTTTGAATTCTAGCTCATCAGCTAACAGACTGCCTTATAAATTATTTAGTCAGTCCTAATGATTCTTTCTTTAGACTCCACCAGCCAGGCAGTAACCAGGGGGCAAATGAAAGGGCAGAAGAGAAGCGGAGGCTCTTGGTGCCCGTGCTGGTAACACTGCATACACGGGGGAGGCTGACCCTGGATCCTTAAGGGTTCTAAAACGTTGCTTTCATTGTCCGATTTTGTAGTTATATTTAGGCTGTTGCAATTAAGTTAATGTTGGTAACTCTCCATGTTCAAAACCAGTGTAAATGAAAGTTAAAGTGTTACGCCTTGTATACCCTCCCCGCCCTTGTCTTAACAGAAAAAAGCGTGGCCGGACCACAAGCGGGAATGCAAATGCCTTAAAAGCTGCAAGCCCAGATATCCTCCGGATTCTGTCCGACTTCTTGGCAGAGTCGTCGTCAAACTTGTGAGTATGGAGCTTGTGAAACATTCTTGGGTGTTAATGTAACCAAAGCACTGGAAGTCGCATGTACTGTTCTTATCTGAGGCTGAGTTTAAACCTGTGCCCAGGCAGAAGGCAGATCACTCCAGGGAGTGGGCAAGGTGACACGTGCTGCGTCCCAGTCAGTCCCGGCCTCAGTGGCCGCGATGGTGTGCACGGCCCCTCCCTGCAGGCCCTGCGTGTCATCTCCTGGGCCCGGAGGCACAGAGTCCTCTGCTCGTCGCACGAGATGTTCGTGACGTCTGCTACGTTGCCTCGATTACTTTTGTACTGTGCACTAGTGCACAGGGCATGTATTTATGGGGTTTTTGCTGCCCCTTCAACTGAGATTTCAATTTCATGATAATTATTCTTACATGGAAGAGTACTTACTTTTTTACTTACAGTCAAGATGCAGTGAATTGTCCCTATAGTTCTTTCCTTGCTCTGAGAAAACAGCTGGTGGATTCCGTGAAATCCCCTCTGGCGACCCCTCCCGTATTTCGGGGTGAGGCTTGAACGTGCATATCTCTTTCTCAAGTAATTGCAGGGTCCAGCTCTCTCCTGTCCTTTTTTTTTTAATTGACTTTTTTTTTTAGCTATTACATTGTATAGGGGTTTTTAAGAATGTAAAAGTATGATTATATCCCAAAAGTAATAGTGTTATATGTAATCTTAATTAAAAAAAAAAGAACTGCATTGGGCATTGTCCTTGGACTGAATATACAGCACACATACTCACTACTATTTTCAAATGTGTGCCTTGTGTTACACTAGAAAATACACATGTATTTCACAGCGTTAATAAATTCAGAGCAACTTTGTCTTTCAGCACTACCTTAACCACTGGACATGAAAAGTACAATGACTATTATATTAGGATGTGGGCATTTTCCTACTTTATTAATAGTGCAAAGATAGAGAACCACGGCTGGAGCAGAAATGGGTTGCTTCTGAGTCACCCAGGGTCCTAGCCCTCAGTCCCCACCCCAGACCTACGGGAGCAGAATCTGATACAAAGCGATTGGGTTGACAGTTACTTTCTGTTGAGCACTTCCTGTTTCCTGGCCCTGGGGCAGGGGCTTTACCTGACGTGCCTCGTGTTATCTCCGCGACAGCCCGGGGGTCAGGTGCTGTCATTATTCCTTTGTTTCAAGTTAGGAAATCGACTCCTCTGGACCCAAGTTTAAGTAACCTGCCCCAGGTCGTACAGTTTGTAATAAATTACTATATTTTTATTCATCATCTTTGCCCTTTATGGTAATTTTAAATAAAAATCCTAACAACAACACAAGTTTTGTGGGTAGAGCTGGGGAAAAATACAAAAGCATGAAAACCTGTAAAAGAACTTTGCATTTGGAAATTAAAGCGGTGATTGTCACAACTTTTAAAGTGATTACTGCTTAGTCCAACTCAGAAAGTGATGAGGAGAAGGATTGTACTGTATTGAATTTTGTGTTTTTTAAATAGACTTTCATTTCAATGTCTAAAGATACTCAAACATATTCCTTTAAATATTGGAAAACTTGAAATGGTTTTTGGTGTTTTTCCCTTTACTTCACAGATGGAAGAAACCCCCTCTGAATCGGAGAAACTTTACTCGTTTTATGATCTGGAATCAAGTAAGTGATTGCCTACCAGCGTCTAACCAAAAATTCCTGTCATTGCTTTGCTGAGCTGGTGAATTGCTTTGTTTTTTCAGTCTCTCTGTTATGTGAGGAAAATGTTTTTTTTAAACATACACATTTGACTTTATTTATCATCATCACTTAAAGCTTGATTTTATAAAACAAAAAAGTCCTTTTTAAGAATTCTGCATCACCAAAATTTAAACAGTAGAAATGGCAATAGCTTCGTAAGTGTTAATTATATACATTACATCAAATAATCGGATATTTTATTATGTGAGGAAAATCTAACATTAGCTTATTTAACGTATTCCAAGGTAGCTCCGGCTGTATAGGGGTTTGTAAAGTGCCAGGTTGGGTGGCGAGGGGAGTGTTACCACTAGTCCAGATGGCACAATTATTTTTTCCCTGTTTTTCCCTCCCTTGCTCTCTTCTTCCCGCTCTTGGTTTCTTTCTGGTGCTGGAAGAGGGATATGGGGTTGTGGTGCTGCTGGGACCATTCCGGGTCCCTGGTCCCTTAGGTGATGGGGAGAGGCGCAGCACAGGTGACTGAGGCCCCGGGCAGCCTGGAGTGCTGTTCTTCTCCCGAACCTCCTGGCAGTGGCCCCGCCATGTGGGAATAGTAAAGAGCTTCCCCAATCTGAGTGTTAAGTACACGTAGGGTTTCTATTTCCTTCATATTGGCACAGCTCCTCTTCACTAGCAGGCTGTGCATGACTTGCACCCAACGTAGCCAGAGCTCATAGACTGCACTGGCTGCACAGTTTACATTGCTGGGCCGATGCAAATCTCATGTGGACTTACAGTTGTCGGATCCTGAGTGCCAGTGACAGTAAATTATTATTTGAGACTCACGCATCGTTAGAGAGATGCAAATCAAAACAACAGTGAGATAACCATCTCACACCCATTAGGATGGCAACTGTCAAAAAAAAAAAAAGAGAGAGAAAGAACAGCAAGTGTTGGAGGAGGTGGGGAAATTGGAACCCTTGAGCACTGTTGCTGGGAACGTAGAATGATGTGGCTGCAGCGGCCAATAGTATTGGAAATGCCTCAAAAAATCAAAAACAGAATCGCAGTATGACCCTGGATTCTGGCTATACACTCACAAGAATTGAAAGCAAATATTCATTCATACTTATAGCAGTGGTATTCATGATAACTGAAACGCAGAAGCAGCCCAGCTGTCCATCGGTGGATGAATGGATTAGCAAAAGGTGTTATGTATACACAGTGGAATATTATTCACCCTTAAAAAGGAAGGTGATTCTGAGCTATGCTGCAACATGGGTGAGCCTTGACGACATTGTGCTTGGTGAAGTAGTAAGCTAATCACAAAAAGACACATACTGTATGATTCCACTTCCATGAAGTACTCAGAGTGGCCGAAATCATAGAGCCAGGAAGTGAAATGGTGGTTAGCAGGGGCGGAGGGGAGGGGTGACTGGGAAGTTGCTGTTTAGTGGTTACTGAGTTGCAGTTTTACAAGACGGAAAGTGTCACGGAGATGCGACGGCGGTGATGTTTGCATCACAGTGTGTGTGTATGTGACACTGCTGAACAGCACCCTTAAAAATGGTTGCGATGGTCAATTTTATGTTTTGTGTATTTTACCACAATTTCAAAAAGAAGAAAAAAGAAGTCATGGGGTTATTTGTTCTGCGGAACAAGTAATTTAACGAAAGTGTATAGACCTGACATAAACAACAGAGTTATGCTGTGCAGTTCAACTGATATGTCTTTTCAAGTTCTAATAGAGAGCTAATTAGTTACTTTGTTCATGACATGTTACTGCTTGGTAATTAACATCTCTTGCGGTGAGTTTCACTATTAACATTCGCCCTTTCAGCTGCAGTGGCGCACACGCTGCCTTAAGTCAAATGCTCTCAAACAGTATTAATTGAATTGTGCACTCTCAGCCTTACCACCTTTTTGTGGTATAAATTAAACTGAGTTTTTCAAAAAAGGTGATCTTTTGATCTTCCTTTTCTTATAGGATTCCCTTTAGTATTTCATATAATGCTTGTTGATGATGAACTTCCTGATTTTTACCTTACTTGGGAAGTGCTTTATCTGCCCTTCCATTCTAAATGATAGCTTTGCTGGATAGAATCATCTAGGATGTAGATCCTTGCTTTTCATCACTTTGAATACTTCTTGCCAGTCCCTTCTAGCCTGTAAAGTTCCCTTTGAGAAATCAGCAGACAGTTTTATGGGAACTCCTTTGACTCCTTTGTAGGTAACTCTCTGCTCTTTTCTTGCTGCTTGTAAGAGTCTCTCCTTATTTTTAATCTTTGGCAGTTTAATTATGATGTGTCTTGGTGTGGTTGTCTGTCCATCTTTCTTTGGGACTCTGTGCTTCCAGGACTTGTCTATTTCCTTCACCAGATTAGGGAAGTTTTCTTTTAGTATTTCTTTAGGTAAGTTTCAGTTTCTTGCTCTCCCTCTTCTCCTTCTGGCACCCCCATGATTTGGATGCAGTTACCTTTAAAGTTGTCCTGGAGGTTCCTTAGTCTATCCTCATTTTTTTTTGAATTCTTTTTTTCTTCTTGCTGTTCTGATTGAATGCTTTTTTCTTTCTTGTGTTCCAAATCATTGATTTGATTCTTGGCTTCCTCCCCTCCACTGTTGTTTCAGGAACAGAATCACAGACATGAGATCATTTCGAGGCTTATCTGTTGGGAGGGAGGAGGGGGAGAATGGGGGAAAAGGTACAGGGATTAAGAAGCACAAACTGGTAGGTACAAAGTAGACAGGGGGAGGTAAAGAACAGTATAGGAAATGGAGAAGCCCAAGAATGTATAGGTACAACCCATGCACATGAACTGAGTGGGGAATTGCATTAGAGAATGGGGGTACCTGGTGGAGGGGGGCAGAGGGGAAAAAGAGGGACAACTGTCATAGTATAATCAATAAGTTATATTTAAAAAAAGTAAAAAAGGTGAGCTTTCTTCTTCAGTGTCGGTTGAAGCAACACCGTATCTTGTTCATTCAACCAGGAGATAATCTGGAAGCTGAGATTTCCTTGATCCATGTCTTCTTGTTGATACACTTTCTAATGACAAATGCTACCCACCTGAACTTCAGCTTAACTCTTTAGGTCTCACTTTCAGGGTTTGTTTGTTTGTTTGTTTGTTTTTCCTGTGAGATGCTGCTGCTTCTCAGTCGGGACCTGGTTGTGAGTTGTCTCATGGCAACGTCTGCTTACAGTCACGGACTTGATCAGCATTTGTCATGGTTAGAATACGTGCACAGGATGATGTGGAAATTCTGGTAATACATCTCTTTACTGGTGGTTTAAATGTTTCTCATCTGCACGTGTATTTATTTTGTTTTGATAGGTTTTTGATCTTGTAGATAAACTTTTGCAGAATTTAATTGCTAATGTGTGCATCGTCATTTGTAATTGTCAAAAACTGAAAAGATACGTGTTGTCGGAATGGAATCCAGGCAGGAATACCTGCGTTAACAGTTACCTTTGCACACCTGAAGGTCGCCCATTGAAAGTTCACTGTGCGACTGTGCTGTTCATTTTCTCTTTCACAAAGACACTAGCAAACTGACCGAAGACAAGAAAGAGGGCATCAGGCAACTTGTGATGACGTTTCAAGATTTCATGAGAGAAGAAATACAGGACGTTTCTCAGCTGCCACCCGCCTTTGATGTTTTTGAAGCCTTTGCAAAAGTAAGTGTGACGTTTGGTATCTTTGCTCATGCCGTAAATCAACCCTGAACTCTTCATTTTGTTGTCAATCCTTGAAAGTCATGTCTGATGTCACTCTCCTACCTTAATGCATAAAGAATGACAGAATGCATTACTTATATTGGAACGGGTATTACTTTTAATGTTTTATCAGTGTTCTTACTACTGACCCAAGGACGTTCACTGATATTTAAAATGCTGTTTTGCATTTTGGTAACAGAAGGTTTGTGACGGTGATAGTAGTACCTCCAGGATTTCTAGAGGGGTCACTGCAGAGCGATGATCGGGTGGGAGGGGCAGCCGGAAGTGATTTGCTTGAAGCTTCGTTTGCACGGCAGTTTTGTGCACGCGCGTGTGTTTTAGATTGTGCGTTACCTGGGGATGTGTGCTGAATGGAAGTAGAGGTGTGAGGAAAGTGATGCTACTGACACTAATGCAGGTGCCCGCTGGGCAGGGGGTGCATTGCAGGACTTGTCAGTGGAGCCCAGGAGACACACGGTTATTGACGTGTTCGTGTGAAAAAGCAGGCAAGTTCACCTCCGCCGTGTCTCGGTTGCATTGATGAGGGAAGAGAAGATACGTGTCTCTGGGAGCCCCTGTCCCTTACCATCCCACAGTTTTTATTTCCCCGCTTCTGTCTTCACACACCATTTCCCAGTCGATTTCAAACTGCGTTTATCTTGGCGTGACAGTTGCAGTGGTTCAGTTTACTGATTGAGTTCTAAACATTTCCTACAAATACAGGAAATGCATATATGAATAATAATAAAGGTAAACTTAAAATCTGAGAAAATGACGGAGGACAGATTTAAATGGGACACCGAATAGCATGATGGGTAAGTCATGTTCTCAGACAAGTCAGTGGGATTCTCCCAACCACAATCTCCTCGTCTGTGAATGGGAATAATAAAAATAACACCAAACTGTACAGATAAAAGCACTCAGAGTGTCTCCCACTGGTACTGCTGCCCGCCGCTCCCAGCTGTGCTCACGAGTGACCGTGAGACTTCGGAGTTTCACATCGCTCCGTGCTGTCGTAGCGAAGGCAGCCTGCAGCTGATTGTAAACCTGAGTCTCAGGTGGTTGCCGTTGTGCCCAGGGCGGGTGTCTCTTGAGGTGCTGGGAATTACTTATCTTGTTTAAGAAGAAATTTGCCACCCTGGCTGGTGTAGCTCAGTGGATTGAGCACGGGCTGCAAACCAAAGTGTTGCAGGTTCGATTCCCAGTCAGGGCACATGCCTGGGTTACAGGCCATGACCCCCAGCAACCGCACAATGATGTTTCTCTCTCTCTCTCCCCGCTCCCTTCCTTCCCTCTCTAAAAAATAAAAAAAAAAAAAAGAAAAGGCTTTAAAAAAAAGAAGAAGAAATTTGCAAACAGGAAAGAGTACCTTTCCTGTAGTAACTGGCTTGGTTTCAGCCTGTAGCCATTGTGGACAGAAGTCATGTACTCTTTGCTGCATTCATAACAACTCCATGATTTCCGAGTAGTTCCTTGGGATACCATGAAGGAAATGTAAAAACAAGCTCTCTCTAATGAATGAAATATTCTCACACATGCATCTTAAGAAGATGGCATTAAATCTAAAAGTCATTCAGTTGTCATGTATGTAACATGTATAGGAATGTATTGTATTTCTCCATTGCATCCTTCAGAATGTACGTTGATAACTGGTGATGGTTATTAATAACCTAAACTTCATGACAATAGCCCTGGTGGTGAGCTTATTTTCTATGCACAGAATATAGGTTTTAGAAAAATGTACTTAATTATTTTTTCCAGACTTGTAACTTCCTTTTCTAAAAATGCATTTGGTAGACGAGAAATGTGATATGATCTGGAAAAGAAAGCAGAAAATGAACTAGTTGCATAAAACGTTTCAAAAACAGACAGTAAATTGGAAGCAGCAAGAATAAAAGTGACCTTCCTGGCCGCAAAATATGTCATTGTTAGCGTTTCCAGAGCTCGGCAAAGTACTTTTTAACTTCATAAAACTGTACAACTGCCAGAGAATTTTTTGATTAGAAATTCCACATCTGTTTGAGGAGATGTTCCCTCCCTTTCCCTTTCAAACAAAATAATAATTCTCCTGGTAGCATGTTATTTTTATTCTTTGGGGCACGTCTGTGACCTCCAGAGCTTGCCTTTCCAGACTCTAGTTTTTAATGCTATCAGTGGCAGCTGGTTTTGTGATGAACGGTGTGATTGTATAGCTCTGGAAGTGAGGACTTTAGAAGGTGTTTTTTTGTACTATGATACTTAAATTTTACATTCAGTTTAATTCTTAGTAAACTACTTTTATTGGAGAATTCTTTTTTATTAGCGTAACAATAGGGAATGTGTTAAAACAAGAATCTTGCCAATTCATAATATGAAAAGAAATGGAAACAGTGTTTTTCATTGAGCTATGTTAGAAATGACACAAAAGAATAATGATTATATTCAAGAGTAGATACTTGCATTTGGCTGATAGGTGCCATTAGATACATAGAGTGTTAATAGATAATCTCTGTGATTCTCTGCCATAACCTCATGATTTTAGTAGTGTAAATTTATCAGCACAGAGGGAAAATGACTAAATAACAGTGTTTTGTCCTTTCTATTTGCTGAGGAACGGTGTACCTCAGTAAGAAACAATAACAAGTTGTTGGTGATATATTAAGTTTTTAATGTTCAGATTTCAGCTTGGTTGGCCCTCTCATTCTGGATATACTGGCATTTTATTACTCCAGAGTTGCTGGTAGGCTAATTTGTGGGACAAATATTACCTTTGTTGTTTGGAAAGGTCAGGGGTGTGTGTGTGTATTTGCCCCTTGAGGGTTTCGAGTTCATATAGGACCAAATTTTAGAGCTTTTTGTTGATCAGCTTAGTTGGGTTTCGCCCTGTAGCAGGCTACAAAGTAGTAAAGAAAGCAGTCTTTTGAATTAATAAAGTGATGAATTATCTAATTACAAACTTGATGTGAAATGGCAGTGCGATAACTTTGACTGCATTACTAAATGATCCCAGTGACTGATCAGATGTGTCTGGGTTCCATTAAGGAAAAATATGCTATTAAATATTTAGTACAAAAAGCGAGCGCACACACCAGGATAGCTAACCTCCAATCACTGGGGTGCGCGTGTCTGTATATTTGGGGGTAGCTGCTGGGTGAGCATCTCTCTTGTCTGCTTAGAACAGCTGCTGGAAGACTTAGTTCCTGGGATTGTACCTCTTTTCCGGTTTTAAGTAAAGCGGGCAGACAGCTGAGATGCTTCACTGCACGCAGATCCTGGCATTCTAATTACGAAATGCTGATGCATTTATGATTTATATGTTTTTTCTTTATTACAATAGATTGACTCTCCGAGTAGATTCCAGAGACAATTATTCTCAGAAATGTTCTTCTAAGTTCAGTGACATTTGTAGGACACTTGGGCTTTCTGAACAAAACAAGTCATGTGTTTTAATGATGGTATTTACCGTGTTCTTCATTTCTAGCCATTCAGCTAATGTTTCTCTTCATTTTCTGTGTCAGTAACCTGTGATGAGTTGGTGTGTATTTATCATAGTTAGAGACCAGATGCCAGCTAACTTCTGAAGTCAGAAGGATAATTAGTCAATTCTTAATCAGCATTTTTATTTATACCTGTGTTGGTCAAGGTTAATTGCTTATATAAGGCTAATGCTTTGATTAAAACCATTGATGGATAAACATGTTTGTCAAGCCTTGTAGCCTTACCTGTTTGAGTGTATCCCTTGCCATTAATTCAGCTAGAGGTGATGTTTTTAAATGACAGTGTGTCATTGTGAAGTGGTGGCGGTTACTTTCGTTGCTTCTGCCTTCCCTTTAGTGACAAAAACCTCAACTAGAGTATCTGTCTCCCTACTAGAACGCAACTTTCTTAGAGCCAGGAATTATATTTTATTTATTTGAATTCCATGAAAACTGCCTGTTCAGTTTTGTGGAGTACACTTTATTCAACACATTCAGAAATCAGTATGTTGCTGTAAGTATACAAGAGTGCGTAGAAAGAAGTCTTTATCGTAGTAAAATTGAAGAAGTTTAGTAAGTTGGCAGCTCAGAATCTCAGAGGCTGACTTTATCCTCAGTGCTTTGGGAAATGGTGGATCATGACATTAATTATTCCAGAGTTAGCAAACCTTTTCTGTAAAAGCCCACATAGTCACTATTTTAGGCTTTGTAGGCCAAGAGGCAATGTGAATGATTACCGCATCGTGCTGGTTTGTATTGCACAGCGAGACGGCCGCTTACGGTGCCTGTGGCCGCTCCTCACCTCTGCCCTGAGAGCCGCCGGCTTCCGTGGACGATACGTAAGTGGGCAGGTGTGGCTGTGTTCCAGGAAAACTTTGTCTGTAGACACTGAACACTGACTTTGCTATAATTTTCACTTTTGCTCACCTATCATCCTTTTTATTTTTCTCCCAACTGTTTGCAAACGTAAGAACACATTCTGGGCTCACAGGCTGTGCAGAAACGGCTGGTGGATCGGAGTTGGCCTATGGGCCAGCGTTTGCCCACCCGTAAGTTACAATTTCTAAGCCAAAAGCTTTTTTATTTTTATTTTTTTTGTGCTCAGTAGGAAACAGATTATGCTATCAGACATTTCTCTAATTAAAAAAATAGGATGGGAAATAGTCTGTCCACCACCGTCTAACAGACCATTAGTTCCGCAGTTCCGTGTTGCCGGTCGCATTCGTGGGCGCACTGGGTAGACAGTGACTGTTTCCCGAGCTGCCTTGTCCACTCCGAGAACATTCAGTTCAGCAGCTTAGAAATGTTTTAACTCAGTAACACAGTAGTGGACATAGAGAATTGCACTTGGGGTTAGGAAGAAATAAAATAGTCAAACAGAAGAAAATGCGTATTTTATTAATGTCTTACATACACTATCATTCCTGGTTTTTTGTTTTTCTTAATTATGGGTGTTGTATGTTGTTTTCCCTTGAAATGAAATGTAATGATACAGTTTTCTAGTAG